TGCATCTCACTCTCAGAGCCTTTTTTCTTCACCCCTCTCTCTCTCTCTCTCGCTACCTGTAGAGTTCTTTAAATGGATCTGTGCGTGCTATGGCCTACAGAGCGACCTGGCCGGGAAACCTAGATTATTAGGGAAGATAGCAACAGCAGCCTGGGTGTTTTTATGAGGGACAGGACCGTCACGCAGACAGTAGGGTAGAGCAGCAAGCATAAAACATCGTGCCCCTGAGGGGAAAACTCTTGTTCCCAAACTTGTAGTCATCTATCCGCGCTAACAGTGGTCACATCCACTAACAGAAATCGTTGCGGACGCCTTTTTATACTGCCGCAAGCTGGGTGGAGAGGGGGATGCTGAAAGACCTATGCAAAAAGTTGATCCGTCTATCAGCGCGATTCACAGGACTCTCGTCGGAAGCCCTGCCAAGCAGCTGAAAGACAGAACGGTTAATTTAAAAATTATCACTCCAATTGAGTCGTCTTATTCAGCTTCCTACAATAAAAGAATGAAGGACTGAGGAAGGATTTGAAAATCGCAAACTTTGTAACGCTGGGAATATTCCTTTGTAATTCTGGTTAGTATCAAATAAGAGTGTAAAAGGTTTCGCGGCGTCTTCACTGCAGTTTATTGTAAGCTTAATGACCAACTGAAGGCAGCGTTTCCACTGCTGCCACGTTTCTTCAAAAATACCTTTTACTTGTATTAACTGTATTTTTTATCCGTGTTAAATCGCAAACCTTTTAAACTATGTTCATTTTCGTTAAATAAGAGAAAAAGACAATTTCCACGGCCAGTGTTATGCTAAAATCGTAGAAACCATTATATTTTCTATTGGCTACTGCGAAAGATCTGGAGATTTCCTTGGGTCAGGTTACCTAATGGAATCCTCAAAAGTAGTCACTGCCGTTTTGTTCTACGTGCAGTAAGAATAAGCAAAAAACCCGTACACTGTACGGACTATTCATCACGTAAACGCTAGAAGGACTGGAATTGCAAAGGAAGTATTAGTGGTGATTAACGCCAACATCTTCGTCATTTTGTCTTTATAGGTAACAAAATTAATAAGTGCCTGAAAGAGAGTTGTCCGAAACTCCCATTGCTGAGAATGTCATACAGGCGTCATTAAGTTAGAGCCAATAAGCGTACCTCTCGGGGTACCAGTCAGTCATTCAACAAACACCCATACGTGTACACACTACTGAGCAGGATGAGGGAGGTGTCTCGTTAGTCCGCAACTTTCTAAGTGAACATGTTTAGCATGTCCTGTTAGATTAATGTATGCAAGATGGATTATAATGAGAAATGCACTGATTTGGTGTGGAGATTAATTTCCCTAATGCCGGCCGTTCCTTAATTTCCGTCAACAGGGCCTGTCAGAAATCTAACTGACCATAATACCTGGCAGAGCTCAACAGAGGCGCAATGCTTGCAACACACAACAACCCCTATATGCACCGTATCAAATCGCCTGCCTCAGATTTGACTTTCCAAGTTCCAGGAGGCCAATTTCGAGAGGCAACGAATGCGCTGTAGGAGGCAGCAGTGCTGTTAAACTTGATTGTAGGAACGGTTTCCTACTTCCACAGGCTTCTACCGAAATACCAGTGACTGTCTGAGTCGGTATAAATGGACGGCAGCAGGCAAGCGTGCGGAATTTTGCATGACTGGACAGAACTATTTTTTTAGTTTCTCGTTAGGTTTTGACATATTTAAAAACGTCTTACTCCCGTAAGGAGAGTCTGCGTGCAGTGAGTTAAATGGGTTTTACGTCTCCGTCTTTCCGGTATGCCGCAGGGTGAAATATTGCCCATGCTCGAGGCAAAATAAGCACACAGTAATTGCGGTTAAGCGTCAAAACAAGCTGCCCTGTAGGAAAACGAGGGCAGTCCTTGCATGTGCACGAGACTGCGCACTAATTTTGACTCTTGAAAAAAAAACTCGACTTTAACGAGGCCTGATAACTAAGCTCAGCTTGCTTTAAATCAGGTATTGCAATTTCAAAGTGGAACATTGGTTTGAGCGGTCAATGATAGCTCAAAACTGGACAACCTTACTGAAATTAAACCAATAAAAGTATGGGAAAGTAGCACATCATCGGAAATCGATTCTGAGTTGACAGAGATGTTGATGCGAGACCAATTACCTGCATGATATCGCTGGACGCATGCTAAACCTTCGAGTCTGCTCTGAAATAACCCGTATCAAGCTTCGTCATTAAACAATTACTATTAACCACGTTTGCGTTCTCTCCTTTGATAATATTTAAATTCCCAGCAATCGAGTTGGGATAAGAAGATAAGCAAAAACGGAAAAATAGCCTTTTTCATATTTTTTCGGGTTAGTGTTAACTGGTTTTAATCCAACCAAAAGCCGGAATCTTTCCTTCCAAAATCTCCACATACATGAAAATGAAGAAGCGATAAACAAGAAATCACAAATACTTTTGAATCACTTCTCTGGAAACTTTTTTGGAATATTTGAGGCGCTTAGTACAATTCTTCTTCGAATAGTTTGTAAGTATGGCGTGGGATTAGTCTGCGCCGTGTAATTTGTGTTTAAGTTACTACAGTATGCCGTTAGCGTATGAGGCACCGTCATGCATATTGCTAATTTATAATAATTGTCTGTGTAGGTTCATTTACGTGAGGAGGATTGTGGGCAACACTATACTTTTAAAGGAAGTTCTAAGATGTATCGGGTGTCTGATATATGCAGGGAACAGAGCTTTTGCACATATTTCTGTCCATTAGCGCATTTTGCAACTAGTTTAGCGAAGGATCAAGAAATTTCAAGTCCTCAACATCCGGATAATACTAGAGTATCGGCGGACAGTTATGGCACTCCACTTTTGCCTAATCTACACTATCTTATTTTTCTTTGAAGGTAGCGCATAGCCACCTGCAGAACAGACTGCTCCTATTCCCATGTCCTACTGCGGTGACCATACAGGAATTCTCTGCACTCCGATCGAGCGCTCCTAGCAGTTGCTTACCTCGAAAATGAAAATGCATTGTCGAAAACCTACGATGGAAGACAAGGGAATCGAACCAACGTCCTCACTCAGCCACCTCTTAATTATGTGCTGGAAGACCCCAAGTTCGAGTTTGGACTCGGTTGTCTATTGAGTGAGACGTTCTAACGCCTGACCTACGGGCCCAGTTATTCCTGGCTTACGTTAACATTAGAATTTACTGAGAACCGCAAGTAAACCAAGCGAGTTAAGATAAATAATTGAGAAGATGAGCTAAGTCCTCTTTTTTATAGACGAAAACAGACTAGACATGAATAGTATGACTTTCTTCGACCACAAGCTGCTCGAACGCTCTACCCCAGGAATATCATGTTCAGGTAACATTTGGCCGACAGAACTGCCACCGTCGATAGCTATGAAAAAACGCATTTCTTTTCAGCCTGTAGAAGGCAGAAAAGAATACCTTTCGAAAGCTGACCATGGCCAAAAATTTGTTTGGTTGAATAGACAAAAACAAAATCTTTATGGGATGTGCTGACGGCGGCTAGTTGCGGCTCACTGACCGGCTGCATTAACATTGGGGTCCACTTAATGTAACTTACTCAAGCAGAACGGACGAACTATCTCTTGAAGCGGAAATGCACTTCGCAGGTGGTGACAAGGTGCTTTTTGAACATCCAAACATGTATTGAGAAGTCAGGTAGAAGAATATTTTTGTCAACATGTTTCCTGGACGTTTTTCTGACAAGACCGTCTGTCTACCACAGGAACAGTATCCTAACAGGACCCACGGGGTTACTTTAAGAGAAGAGCATTGCAGAAACAGTTGTAAATTTCTCTGAGTTGCATAGTGTGTGTGTTGCTGCTTGTCTTTTCTTTGCCGGTTACCTCAGTTCAGGTCGTAATCAAATACCCGACGTCAAGTGAACTGTTAATGACTTATCTTGAGTACGGAATGATGGCTGTGGGTGGTGCCGATGCTCCTAAATAAGATACATAAGGATCCCCCAATGAACCGTACTTTCAAATTATACATACCACGCGATATATGTAGAATCCACCAGAAAACATAAGGGCGGAACCTATTGATAGAAAGGAATGTTATATTGTGGATTTAATTAATTATTAAAACATAGTGGAGCAGTTGCAGTATATTGCGCGGGTAAGCTGATCCAAATGTGATTAAACTTACGGCTACCGGTCGGAGCCTCATAGCTCAAATGGCTATAGCGCTGACTAAACTGGACCATTGCTCTTGCCAGTGTGGATTATAATGTCACCGAACCCACGAAGGGCTAAATTACTTCAGTAACTATGAGTCCTGTCGAAAATGCGTGTTCTGGAAAGGGTTTAAAAGGAGTCAATCTAAGTGAAACACGAATTTTATTCGCCTGACATTTCGACTTAAACGTTAGCTCATCACAAAATAGAAAAATGATTATGGATGGGCATGGGTTGTAGTATTTATAGTATAAAGTTGCTACGCGACCGCATAACTATCATAAACCAGACAACCTCTCTCTCCATTCTAAGCCGTCCACCGTTTTAAATCTATTTTTCTCGGGACCGCTTTTGAGGTAATCTTAAAATTTACAATGATTTTCTGCCCAAAGAAATTCTTTATGGGTCGGTATTTGAAAGATGCCTTAAATTGAATAATATGGTGGAAAGTGCAGATGCGTTATAATAGACTTATGAACCTTAGGGGGCTTTCCACGTATAAGGTAAAAAATGGGTTGGAAGTTTACTTACAGTAATTGGGTGAAATAGCGTTAAAGAGTCATAGTCTTTCAATTTTTTCTAGGGCCAAAATTTTCAGTCAGTTTCTAGTCCAAACAGCAGAGGATTGCTTCAACTGTTTGACACGAAGGATTTAAACAAATCATTTCATGCTGAATTAATGAAAATAATTTTGACTTTTATGAGGATAAACCTTCCCATGGACCTGATCGTACGCAGTATGATCCAGCATTATGTCCCCGTTCACGGATGGATTTTAGTCAACACCTTTCAAAGACTTTGATAAGTAGTTTACCAGTGGGCCCTTTACAGGGTATGTTCGGAAGGAAAACACGCCCCCAATATCTTCTGTTTTAAGTCCTCTAACCAGCATGAATTTTGCTTCACCTGCTCCTATGGCCCGGTTTCATTTTTGAGCAATTCTGTACTGAGTCCTAAGGCGGGTCCACAGGCAAAGTAAAACAGTTCTTTTTCACTAGTCGACAGTCCGCGGAAGCGAAGAGCTGATATAGATACTGTCCTCAAAATTCCCCTGTTACTCCAGCCGCGACTAGGTAAGCGTTCCGACTGACGATACAAAGTATTTACCTAGATATCTACTGTAGGCGTAGTCCGTGGAATCTAGGCGCAGATTTTCCGATCACGCAATGCTCGAGCCGCTACAATCCGCTTTGGGCTGGAGGATGGCGAGGCCTCTGCGTGTTTTATTTGAGTGGCGTAACATGTTGAGCCGACTTATAGTACCCCGTACTTAGTTGCTTTTGAGAGTTTCGTCATGTTATTTACTAACATCTATTGGCTTTGTCCCATGTTTGCAGATAAATTTTTTTGCGAAACTTCCCATAGGTGCTTGCATCTATAAGCAGGACTTAGTAAGGTTAGTTTGTTACAGTTTCCTTCGGTAACATAGCTTTTCTTTCTAACAGCTTGACAAATTATCACCACATGCCAATGTCTGCAGTCAATCAAAAACCAGTCGTTCGCTCTCGGTGCACTGACCGGACGACACTTGCGATACTCTGATTGCCTACGACTGAAACTTGATCGGGTGCTGACCGTCCCACGGGAAGATTCGCCCGGTCTGCTCGTTTGTTTAACTAACTGTTAATAGTATTATCGGTATACTATATGTATTCATTGGTGCAGAAGTCTGACCACTTGAATGGAGGAAGGTTCGCACCACGGCTGCTGATAAATTTTAAACGCAGGTCCATGATGGTAATATCTTTTGTCCGGAATGACCAGTGGCCCTTGTCAGTGGCTCGGCTCGAAGTGTCTCTCATGGAAGATTTACTGAAGTGGTTAGGAACCCATCACATCGTTTACTATCCTAGGTATTCACCCCGCCCGTCTCCGCTTTAAACAATGGCCTGGAACAAGACCTGTTAAATCATTGACTTTGAAGACTCTTTTGTAGTTTTCAAATCTGAGTTAGGCATTCAAACTGTCTCCTTCATAAGATTGTTTCTGCCGACGGATAGCAGCACCAGTAGGTGTTAACTAACTTGGATCCAGTCATTCGTGTTCATGAAAATAAACATCCCCGTGTGAGCTTAATGCACCCAGGAGTAAGGACGTTGCCTTAGCCAAGGCATAGCCGATTATGCTGCTACCGACACGCTGTGAGTTCCACTGCAAAACGTGCAAGTGTTTGATGCTACTTTCGTATAATTCAGTCGCGGGCTCTTAGAAGTTGTTACGAACCTAACAGTCGTAGACAGGCGGTCTTCTTGCGTTGAATAAAAAAGTCGGCGTCATGCTACTTACCAACTTTTTGGGACCTTGTGCACTGCAGCGACCAAGCGTTTGAGCAGTAAGGTGGGTCACCTTCATGCCTGGGTTCATGTCCACCTGACCATTTGGCATAATCGCAAACTTGGGAAGCTCGTGGAGAACGGAGTGGCACATATTTTGTGTCATCAGGTCTGCTCGGTCGTGTGTGCGATAGGAGGGTTGAAAGCAATTACTGCCGTCATCGAAGGGGTACCCGTTGGCCGAACCCACTTGACTTGTCAGGAAGTGGTACTGGGCTTCTGATTGATCTGTGTATAGTTAATACAAAATGCAGCGTTGTTGTGATTTTGTGTTATCTTATTTAATTCCTCGGGGTATATAAATACTATTTGGACATTATATGTTTGAGTGCAGTTTGATTATCTTGGCGGACACTGAGTTCGATCCCGTTTTAACATGCGCACCATACTTTGCCTATCCTATGAACAAATATCAGATATTATGTCTAGTCAGATTGAATATTCTAAACTCAACCTCATAATCCGCTTAAATAGATTTGTTTTATTCTCCTCATTGTTATTAAGTTTCGTTTTTTATGTATCTTCAAATGTTTTAGTAGTATTCCGGCAAAAGCAGGCACCCTAGAATAGCTATTTCTGGCTTTATTGGTCATCGTCAGCTAGGAGTAGCCAACTCTAGTGTATCCGCGAAAATTGCTATCACATTCGAGTTTTGAACTCGCGTCTTGCCGGTCAGAGGCAAACATCCTAACCATTGAGCCACGAGTTCGCTGCCTTGCCGGTTGCTGATCGGGAGTATATAGTAGTTAACTGTACAGTGATCTGTCTTTCAGGATGTATCCATCTTGATTGATGTCTCACGAACTCGGGCCAACCGAGTGTTTAATCGCAAGGTTGCTAATTGTAATGTAATGTTTCAAATAATGACTTCCGCGTTTCCAGGATACAGCGTTTTTTACTGCGGAACTGTCAAAATTGCATGTAGTAAGGTAATATGACGTGACTGAGAATCTCGATACGTGGTGGGCTCCAGGAAAGTGGTAAGAATAAGGAGATCGCCAATACAAGCGAACATGTGAGTCGCCGTAAGAAAGTAAGAAGATATGATCGCTGAGACAAGAATTTTATTAGCCTGGCGTTTCGAAATTCATCGCAGCTCCTCCAAACGAGATGGGAAACTAAGTTGCACGGACCCCAAATTTGTGGAGCGATCCCATACGTTAAAAACTTCTCGGGGGCCATCGGCCACCTTCTCGCACCATTTGGAGTTGGAGTCGCACACAGGCCGGAGACAACCATAAGGCGTGAGATAATGAAACTAAAAGACCCACTGCCACGGCAAGAAACATGCGGAGTCGTCTACTGGATGTGGAACAGTTGCAGAAAAGCAACTACATCGGAGAAACTAGAAGACTTCTCAAGACGTGAATTGTCGAACACGCGGCAAAAGTGCCCCCCTTCCTTGTCTGCCTACCTATTCAAGTGTGTCATGAGCTGTAGATTATCAGATGTTATTTTGCAAATGCATTGAGGAAACTCTAACAAACAGTTGTCACCCTTTAGGCGACGATCCGTCAGCCAAGTTTATTCGGATATTTTCCCACAAATAATTGCCTCACCTTCATCCTCTACAGTATCGCTGCGCGTGTAGCTGCTGGTAGTTATCGGTATCGGAATGGCCTTGATAAACCCATTCCCATCCGCGCCAACTGCGCCATTGTAAATGGCTCCGGCCTGATTTACTTGCTGATATCGAGTGTCGCGTCGTGCCCTCTTCACGACCAAACAGATGGCCACCAGGAGGACAGTAGAGATGACGAAGGAGGCCACAATTATGGCGATGATGATGTAGAGATTCATGCTACGACTGGCGGCCGCGTCCGAGGAGAAGAGACTCAGGGGGAAACCGAAAATGTCACGCTCCACCTGACCCAGGGGAGGCGAGTCGTCCACGATGATTCGCAGTTTTGCCTCAGTGGTCAGTGAAGGACTGCCGCAGTCGGAGGCCTCAATGAAGAGGAGGTAATTGCCAAGGAACCCGGAAGTATAGGGTTTGGCAACTAATAGCTCGCCTGTTTCTGAATTTATTTGAAAAAGGTCAAAGGGATCTCCGGCGCGGATCCGAAAACGTACTGTGCCATTCTCCTCTGCGTCTGTATCATAGGCGGAAACCTGTAGGCAGAAGAGGGAAAATAGGGAGGCTGGCTTTACTGTGGCAGGGAGCTAACAAACGAATCTAGATATATGCATACATGTTCATAAAAGAAGCTGGCATACACCAAATGGGTGGGACGGCATTGCTGGCAAGGAAGACCTTTTTTTCCAAATATTTCAGCCAGTCCTGCGTCCTGTGGGTACGCATATTTTAAGCGCAAGTGGCCCAGTTTTTCTCCCCACAAAACATTCACGACATCGGTCAAAATCCCGAAATTTAGCTTTGTTTTACTCGTTTCCGAAGAAGATGACGTAATTATATGTTGCACGGGCGTGCAGTCGAAGAAGTTTTGCACGTCCTTACACTCAAGCCGACATTGGATTGCGATGGAGTAGAACAGACCAACTAGAAATGAGAACTGTCCTGTCCAGTGCTGATTTCATTATGCATGAGGCCACTGCCAAGTGAAGCAATAAAAGCTATGCACATGCGTATGTTGTAGATTCAGATCCTGGAATTCGCGATCATATGCTATCTGCGATTACGAGACTTTAACAGAATTAGGGGTACACAAGAGAACTTTGTCTTTGTTTTGGTGTCGAAGGAGAACAAAAGGCTAGTAATGCTAAAGACAATTGTTTCTGTAACCTGAACTGTATCATTGATGCTATTTCACACCCCTTTTTTGTGTGCTTGATAGACAAGTTTAGCGTTTTCGGGGATAATGTAGGAAAATGAAACTGAAAGTTGCTTAAATAAATCTTGTAAACCCTCAAACTTGTAGCCGCAGCGAAATACGTATAAGACGATCAGACTGTTCGCCTTTTCAGAGACAATTTAACTTTAAATTTCTGCTGCTCTTAAAAAAACAACATTACGAAGTCCGCGCATGCTTCTGGCCAATTTGCGTGCATACTTCGGTCTCGCTGATACGAAATGAACAGGGCAATAAAGGCTCTCAGCACCGGAACACATAATAGGCCTTTCTCCAGCCCGTTCTGGGCACACAGGCTATCTCCGCCGTCTTCTCCCAAGGGCTAATATTTACGAAAGTTATGTGGTCTGCCGTAATTTCCCCCGGGAGCTTTTGACTTCCGCGGAGAGAGAGGCGAGAGCTGAAGCAAGTAGAGTGTCAGTCCGTGCGACCGCGAGGCAGACTGCTGCGGAGTGTAGAGGAGGGGGGGG